TATAACTTCCCATTATTTTCTAATCTATTCTGTAAAAGATTATATTTCATTTTTTTACATTCTATGCTAGCCTCTATTATATTATAAAGTTTATATTCTGTACTATTTTACTCATCTGTTTGATTATATTTATTAATATTCTATTTTATTCTGCTTTATTTTCCTAGATTTCATTCTATTAAAGTTTCTACTAAATTCAATTGAATTATACTTTATAATTTTCCATTCTACTGTTAAAGATTATATTCAGAATATCAATATCATTTTGCTAGGTAAAATATTGCTTGTTTGAAATATATTTTTTCCAACCCCAAAATTCCCACGAACAACCCACTCCAACCTCTTACCCTCATTTGTCATCCTTGCCCTAACTGAGGGGAATCCAAAATAGTCAGACAGAATACGAGGAAAGTGAGAGAGAAAGAGGGAAGAGGTAATGAGAAGTGACAGCTCTGATAGATGGCAGGATGATGCCGGAGGAATGAGACGGATAAAGTTAAGAGGAAATACGAAGGAAAGATGCAATGCATTTTCTCTGGAAAAGTATTCTCTAGAGAAAAAGACCCTGGTAATATCACATGTGTCTCCACAAGGGTTTCAGAAGAGATTTCAACAATGTCTCAAACTGTGCTCAGATGTGCCAAGATACCAAAGTCTGCAAAGTAAGAGATCTGAAATATGAACTTTTCTCATGTCCAAACTATGTGCAATGAAATCCACCTTATTTGAATCTTTATACTGTACATGTCAACAACTGTTTAATTTTTATTTGTATTCCTTCTAAGGACACATCTGAAACAAAGCTGAGACCTGAGAGCTCCTTGGAAACCATAACCTCTATGCGGTAGAATTTACCTTTAGGCATAAAGCGATTTTTTTTTTTAATGTCACTCTAAATATAACAGTAATGTGATAATTGACTATTTGTTTCTTTGTTTGAAACCTTTCTTTTAGTGGGAGGTTTGTAAAGCATGTCCCCAGAGCAGATGCTTCTTATTCTATTAGACATGCTCAGAAAAGACCTTTTATGTCCTGTGCTGCATATTGAAATATTTTTGGACTATGTGGGTGGAAGTGCAAAGTGGATCGAGAGCAGCAAGACAGAGTGAGAGTTTTGTATTTATTGATTAGGAGATTTACATAAGAATTTAGACTTTAGTCTCCAGTTTTCCTTTTGTATTTCAGTTCTGCTTCTGCAAGATTCTGAATCTTTTATGTGCACAGATGAAACTATAAAAGAAGTTATATTCCTACCTAAAACAATAAAGAAAAATATGTTATCATTATCACATACCGGTAATTATGAAGTAACGTGCAGTAAAACTGTGCAGTAAAATTCAGTGGTCACAATATGCAATAGTCAGTAAAGCATTTCAGAATGCTTGTGTTTGTGTGTTTTATGTTGTAAGAGAGCAGCAGGATTCATTCAAATCAGGAGTATCAGTTCACAACAGCTGCAGTGAGGTTCAGTCATACAGAGATGTGCTTCAACTCTGCAGGTTTAACACCCCTATTTCTGCAAGCTGCTGGATGCATTTGATGCAGTCAAATTGCATTTGAAGAGGAAAACAATGATATATTCAGAAAAAAAGCATGTTACACATAAATATATGTGGATAATGGCTTCATAATGCATTCTTATGTTATGAGTATTGTGTTCTTAAAGGGATAGTTAGCCCAAAAATTAAAATTTGCTGTTAATGTAATCACCCTCAGGCCATCCAAGATGAGTATGTATGAATATGTAAATTTTCATTTTTTGAACTATCCCTTTTAACTGTTTATATGAATACATCTTGAATTGGGAGACCAATATCTAGAACAGGGCAATTAATTCTAATAATAATAATGATAATAATTTGTTACATTTATATAGCGCTTTTCAGGGTACTCAAAGCGCTTCACATATGGAAGGGGGAATCTCCTCAACCACCACCAATATGACATAATTTAATATAGTAATGTAAAAATCTGAAGACTATTTAATATTGCTGTTTAATAAAAAGTGTAAATTATATAATAATTTTAACTAAAACGTACAAAATAAAGCGGAATCTAAATATGTAGACCCAATAGGCACAATACCCTTTGGCGCATAAAGTCCACTGTAGTGGGCAGATGTATTTTCTGTCACAGAAAAAAATGTACAAGAAAAATATTATTAAAATCTGGATAAAAGTATTTGCAACATCTTATTGCTCATTGCATTTTTACAATGGGGTAATATTGTTGTTAAGAGTTTACACAACACAAGGAAGCTTGATTTAAATTGTTTAATTAAATTGAAAAAAGTAGCACAAATAAATACAATAGAATAAAGATACAAATAAAGACAAATAAAGAGAAATGTTTTTCAATGGGTCTAACTTCATATAGGCCTACAGAAACTGAATAAAGTAATCAAATGGAAAATAACACTGGGTAGTATTTTAGTCCTGAATAAATTAAATATATATAGGCTATTAATCCTGATTCCTTTAACTTAAAGCTATATTTTGTTGTTTTGACAACTAAATTAATGAGCTAGTGCACGGATCCTGTGTTCATTATACTGGCATGCGTTTTATGCTTATTAAAAGACAAAACCGACTATGTTTAGAGTATACTCACGAAGACCGAAATTGACACAATTTTGCGTGTTAAAGCAATATAATCCGCGAAAAATATCTTTTGTTACTGGCCAGCTGTTTTTGAGGCGGATTCTCTATGAATGTGCGCATAGAAAATCATCTCAGAGAGCGCGAGCACTGATTAGTTTAAAATCGCTTGAATGTTTAAACTTGCAAGACTTAAAAAGACGTGCAAATGGTAAACTTCAGTCACGATGCACTGCTGGCCCGATTGTGCAAGTGAATATTCCGTCATGTCCCGACTCCTAAACGCGAGTGTGTATTATCGCCGCAGCGCTTGATGCTTGCCTTGCACAACACATTTTGAGAGAAGAGAGATAGAAGACGCGGCACGCTGAACACTCACGCTGTTTGTGAAATTGCGCCTGGCAGATAGTTGTTAAAAGAATTATTTGATTTTATAATCTGTGTGGATTACGATTGCGGGAATTTCCTGCATTATAAATGGGAGACCTGTGGGAATTATTAGAATTATGCGCAATACCCGCAATCCCGCGCCGAAATTCGAGCCCTGAAATTTAATTATCAATCACATCGAAACATTTTACAATCCTACTAGCCCTTTATTTAGATTAAAACCATTCTCATTAATTTGGTGAGGAACATAGCGGTTTGAGCAGCATTTGCAGACGCTGTCATGCTGTTGGCCATATGCACTGCAGCAGACGCATATTGCAGTATTAAGGCTAACGATTAATCGATTAATTGATCGTTAATTTAAACGACGATCGATCATGGGAATTTGTGAAAATTGACATCCCTAATTCAAGCGCACTTACCTATGGACTAAACACGTACTGCGTATGCCGTCACAGTTTTCACGTTTTGAAGTTTACACAGAGATAACCATATCATTTTTCAAAAACCTACTTCAAAGTTTGCGTACTCAGGCCACCAAAACGCTGTTGTGGCAAATGCACGGCCAGAACACATTAAAAGTTTCAAGTTCAAAATGGTGTTGTGTAAGCGGCCCCTACGTTAATAACTAATGATTTTTACAACTAAAATTAATCAAAAACTCACTTAAGCAAGACACCGACTTTCTTCTAGAGCTTCTGTACAGCCAAAAACAATCTTTTTTGCATTATTTTCCTGTTATCACTGTAAAACTGCTTTGAAACAATCTGTATTGTAAATGAAGGTGACTTGACACTGCAGGTTAAATGCACTCGACACCTCTGAGCTGCATTAAACAGTAAATGCCACTTCGTGATTCCTCTGCATTGCAAAGATGAATTTTGTTGATACTGAATTAATTTGATTGGTAACAGCCCTATTGTCTCCTATAGAGATGCACCGATTACAATTTTCAAGGCCGATTCCGATTTTCATTGAGTTTGACCTGCCGATACCGATTTTAGCCGATTCCGATTTTATTGTTTTCTAACCAGTTTTTTATTTTCAATAACACAAATATTTATTTTCTATATATATATATATATATATTTTTTTTTTATAAAACACCATATACTTTTACCCAAACTGAATAATAAAAACAAGTTTAAATGGGTAAATTTTCTATAAAGACTCTTCATTTTAATTTCTGACATAGCCTACTCCAGTTCTTGTTAAAACACACTAGACATGCAAATTCTGTGCATTTTGGGCACTTTTTGTGAGAAATCATTTATTTTGACCATCAAAAGTGTGCTTTAACTTTAATTGAGCGTGAGCTGCGCAGCAAAAATAGACTCTGCGCCGAAACCCGCGCTTCACTGCTGCTCACGTGACACTCCTGCTCGACGCTCACGCGCTGCTCCTGCTCCCGGTGTGAATGCACTCGTTGATTAACATGCATGGCGAAAAAAATGTGCGCCGCTCACGCTTGCGGTGTGAAACGGCCGTAATTCACAAGGTTTCCTACATGTGCGTTCCGTGTGCACGTGTGATGTTGCGTGATGTTAATCATGCGCCGCCTGAGTGCATTTTGACCGGCATAAAATCGCCATATGTCAGACTGACCGGCCGGTCATGGCCGATCACGTGAAAATCGGCCAATTCCGCTCACCAGCCAATCAATCGGTGCATCTCTAGTCTCTTATTATTGTAACTGAATTTATTGATTAAATGTAAGAATTTGACACAAAAGATGCATTTATTTAATAATAAAACAAAAAAAAAAGCTTTTATAAAAGGTAAAAATGCCCATAAAAGGTAAAAATCTATTTAAAAATGGCTATTTATCCGTGTAAAATACCAGAACTGGCACATTCCACAGATAAGAATCCATGAACCGCATTATTATACCCCTTTTTAAGGCTGCAACATGTATTAAAACCATTTAAAAACAAATATCTGAAAAACTTGGTGGTGGCCAACATTTGAATTTCAATTGAATTGAACAATAACGATAATTAAAAAAAAAATCTTTGATAATCTTATGTTTTTGACACAAAGTCAAAGAAAAACAGCAATACACATACCTTTGCATCAGTGGCTTTGAAGCAGTTCTTCACAAAGTTCTCAAACTTTGGCTGTAGTTTTGGTAGTGATACACCCTACAAAAAAAAATATATATATATATATAAAAAAGGAAATTACCTTGTTGAAAGTGACATCTTCAGGTATGATTATTTTGTCAAGAATACCATGCATCAACTACACCGTATTCCATTGAGGTGCGGAATGTTTTTTTTTACCACATACACCATCTCATTGTGACTACTTATGCAGAGAGGACGTCAGGGAAAACGCACCTTTTCTACACTTGCCATCATCTTGGCCTTGATCTCTGGGACAGTGAAAACCCGTGGCGTCTGTGGCGTTTTGGGCGACTGTACTTTCTTGTCACCCTTGTTGTTCTTTTCTGGAGTCTTGAGCTGTGAGAGCATAATATCAAATCAATGAGAAAAGAAACGTCAGCAAATGCTGCAACTCAAGACTTGACAATTTTCTTTAAGGAGAAAGAGAGATGCTAACCTGCTTGGCAGGTGTATTGGGCTTGGGTCCTTTCCCATTCTGTGCAGGGGTCTGTGCTTTGGATGGGGTCTTCTTTACCTGACAGAACAATGGGAAAATATGAAATAAGCATTTCTGATCACACTTTTACACATTCTACAAGATTTAAGGGGTCTGGGTAACTCGTCTGACCTTTACAGGCGACTCTTCAAAGCTTTCTTCCTCTTCATCGTCATCCTCATCATCTTCATCCCTGGAAGGGAAGGTAAAATGTTACTATTTTATTTTGAAAAGCTGGCGTTTCTAAAACACTGAAGACAACACTCACTCATCATCGTCGTCATCATCTTCATCCTCTTCCTCCAACTTAATTTTTTTCTATGAAAGATAGTTAAATTAGCCACAAAATCAAATCATCATAATAAATCCTATAGATTAATTTGAGAGCTTACAGAAAGCTTCGGAGTCAATGACGCTGGCCTCTTTTTGCCTGTTGTCAATGTCTCTTCTTCTTCCTCCTCCTCCTCCTCCTCCTCTTCGTCAAAGGACTGGTCTCCTCCCATGACTGACAGAAGGAAGATTCCAATAAGAAATTTACTGAGGCTTCCCGAAGCAGTTTTTTATGCGTTTATCTGAGACAACAGTTAATAATCATAGACCAAGTATTATCAAGTACTCACTGACGAGATGCTGTCCACTAATGTGAACTGGACCGGAACCAGAGCGTAGACGGAACACAACAGGTGGAGTGATCTCAAACCCAACTAGAGACACCTGAGATTCAAACACATGTTTAGTTAAAAATCAACCACAGCAATTCCAGATTAACTCAAGCCCAACCAAAAGGAGTGTGAAATGACATGACTGATTCTGCTTACACTGGGGAGGGTGGAAGGCCTGAGTGTGGCCAGAACTGCTTTGACCTTCTGACCCTCTGAATCCTGCCCTTCAATCTCCACAACGTTCAGCTCATCTTTTGTTGCGGGATCGACACAGGCCTGCAGGAACAGGAACAAATGCCTTAAGTATGACATTTAAATGTTAATAAAACTTTGAGGACCATTTAAAAGAAGCCCAGAGAGGTCTGACAGCAAACGTAACATACCATTCTGACTGATAACTGATGATCAAAATCATCATCCTCTGGGTTAAAACTGACATCCTTGCCTGCCTTGAGTTCACAACCTGTAAAAACAAACAAAAAGTTTGTTTAAAATAAAAAAAGGCATCAATACATCTTTTGTATTGGGTAGTGTAACTAACTTCAGAGAACCAGTACTTTTGATAAACTCAAAACCAATTCAGTGATTCATTTCAGTCGACACGTGGTCCATGACGCACGCTTCTTGGTTTAATGAGCCAGTGAATCGCTAGGTCTGATAAAACTCGATTGGTGAAAATCATTCCGCACGTACGTTTTGAGAACGGATTCGTTGATGGTCTAAATCCAAAGAATATCAAAATGATTTCTAGCCGTCATTTCACTGCATGGCACGTTGCACCGGTTGTATTTGAGAATATTTCAAACAGGATTTTACCGCAACATAACTGACTTTAAATGTGGAAGTCCACGTGGCGAGGCTTGTGAGATGCTCCATCATGTTAAAATTTCATTTTACTAAAGACCTGACAATGCAGACAAAATGCTTAAATCGGGGCTGCGTTTCCCCAAACCATCGCACGTTTAAGTAAGTTAACGTTAGATACTAGAGATCATTCATTGGCAACGTTACCAATAGTTTAGAACTGGTGTAATTCGAGCAAATATGTTGTCAGGAAAACAAACGGAAAAAACAAGACTACATAATGAACATCCATTAACTTATTGCCTATAACGAAGAATACAACTTGAATTTTCAGTAGCAAGCGAAATTTACACACAATGCGTTGTCTCATCTAACACGTGTAACGTTAGTAGAGTGACGCCATTTTGGAGCCCCAAGGCCAGTCCACGTGTTTAAGAGAGCGCGTGCAGGGAGACATCAGCTGTGCTGTGAGGGTTCCGTTTTCGTTGCTTTAATGCATTTAATTCAGAAGATTATTTCGAATTTGATCATAAAAGCTGTCAGGGTTAACTGCTGACTAACCTTATGAAATCATAATCTTATGCTAATCGATTAGGCTAGCTAAGTTAGCCAATTCATGCTGCACACGTGCTTTAGTTTGTCACTCCAAATCGAGGGATTTAAGCAATATAATACGCTGTAGTTACAGCAGTTAAAACACCAACCTGTGCTTTTAAGCAATTTTGAGTCTGATAATATAACTTGGGTTAGCTGACAAGCTACCACACTACGCCATCTTCAGTTTTCTTAACTTAAAAATGCACATTGTCACGTTTACGTACTATACGTGTGATCTAATAGACTATGACACAGAACGGATCAAGGTAAGTATTACATACCGTATAAGAAGGTTTGGGGACCCATTTGTTCGAGATCCATCTCTGTAGGTTATGTGTGTCTGTACTAGGCTGAACTGTGTCGCGACTCGAACTCCAGTGCGGGATGGACACACTAACCCACATTGAGTAAACCACGCCCATTATGGGACGGTCCTCCAGTCCAGCCAATCAATGAACTCCATAGACAGAGACTCATAGGGTATGATTTATATGTAGGCAACTGTAGACAGAGCATGAGATTTATCCAAGTGAAAGATTTAAATGTAATATATTACACTCTCGAACTCTGTGCATTGGAAAAAGAATGCACATTTAGTTTACTTTTTGTTTCAATTAAAATTTGCCAAAGCCTTGGAATTTATTTATTTATTATTATATATTTTTTGGAGGTGTGATGATTAGAATTGGATGTGATATTACCACGTAACAGATTAATACCAAATTATGTAGTTTGATATAGGACACATTTATTTACTTAGTTATTTTTAATTAACAAGGCAATTTATTTTGCTATCCTTTATTACACACTAATATTTATCCTTAATTCACTGCCGTTCATAACACATTTTTGTTGGGTCACAACCCACCAGTTGAGAACTGTTGATCTATTCTGTTCTCCATTTCATAAAATATCAAATTCACAGTGAAACACTTTAATAAACAACATAGTTGATTAACATTAAACATTTAATGATTTTGAGACGTCATAATAAAGTTTTTTAAAAAATAATAATTATAATGATGCACTATAAATGGATGTCATTCATGCTTTCCAGCACTTACATAAAAAATAATAATAATAACCCAACAGACTGAACCCAGCATTTAAGTTTGAAAAATAAACCCAACCTTTTTAAGAGTATAATAAAAAAAACACAGCTGAATATTATTCCACAAACATTTTAATCAGTTTTGACTGAGATTTGAATTGCACAGCATATGTCTGATATTTAGTTTTCACAGTTTGTATTCTCCTCACTGGACATTTCCTCATGTGGCACCATACTTGCCATTATATACAGCTTATATTTCTTACGACTCACCCTGACCACTCGACTTCTATATATATTCTAAATATTCCCCCCCCCCCCTTTATTTTATATAAGTAATCTGGGTTTTTGTTGTTTTGTCCTTCTTGAAGGTATTAGAGTATCCAGGGCCTAGATTGTCAGTCTCTTACTCCTCACAGAGTTAACACTTAACTTCTGTCCCACCTTATTCACTATGATCTGGTATGGCTTGACAAGTACTGAGACAGATAGACATAAGCAGACGGACTGGAAACAGCAATTATTAACAAACAACTCTGACAACACAAGACACGGAAATCAACATCCAATTGAGTATTCCTCAAACCCCATAAAACATAAATAGATATTTTGAAGGCCAAGATTATTTCAAGCAACTCATAGGGAACACATCTGCTGGTTTTTATCATGCAAGCTCTTTTGGCAAGAAAGCAAGCAAAAGAGGCTGTATTTGCAGTCCCAGTACACCAAGAGTCCTGAGCTCTAGGGTCAAGCAAACGAAAAAAAAAGTTTGAGACTGGCGTTCGTTTTCACAGGAAGAAGGGTGTTGATCATCGCACAATGCTTTTCAAACATGTAGTCTTCTGTGGCTGGATCAAGGTGGATTCTGGGCTGATATAGTTTCCCAAAACACCAGCAAAAGACAACATTAAATATGTTATAAGGTTTGAAAAGAGAGAGAAAAAACGAACCCTAAAGACTCGCAGATTCCCTCAGGCCATTATATTCCCCCAGAACTCAGTCCAGTGAAATATAACACATTTAAATATAAAATCCCCATCTTGCTTTCTTTTCCCCACTCTCTGTTTTGTTCTTTTCTTCTTCTGGTTGATCTTTTCTACATCACATTTTCAAAGAGCTGCATGGATCTCATCATATTTTCATCCTGGTGAGAAAAAGAGAAACTTTTAGATGTAGTTCACCTGTTTGACCACACCGAGGCACCATACTCTTTTCAGTTAAACTGGATCACATTGCATGAACATTGCAGAGGATTTACATGTGGCTTTTCACGTGAATTTTTTGCTTTACTTTCATAGTATTTTTTTTTTCTAGCATCAATGGGGTAGGCCTACATCAACTCACTGACTGGTTACCGACATTCTTCAAAATATCTTATTTTGTGTTCAGCAGAAGAATGAAATTCATACTTTTTGAATTTTGAAACAACTTGAGGGTGAGTAGGTTAAATGAGTTTCATTTTCAGAATTGTCATCTTTAAGTGAACTATTTCTTTAAGCCATGAATAATTCGTATGGTTCTGAATTCACCTTAAGACTAAGGCAAATGTAAAACAGCTGAAATCACTTAGCATGTAATGTGAACATACCTCCTGACAGGCAATGACAAACTCCTCCAATGTTACAACTCCATCTTTGTTTTTGTCCATTTTCTGTAGGAGAGAGATCATTTATTTAAGTTGCTCTGTCATTTTTGCTGTAAAAATCAAGCACAGGGATGGGTAAATATCACTATTCATAATGTACAGTTAACCGCAAAATTGAAAGAAAGGAATGTATCAATTATTAATTAGGAAATTAAGTCTATATGTATTTTGAACCATGCACATTTTAGTATCTAGTAAGATTAATCTGAGTATGGAGTTAAAAAAAAGAGCCTTTATGTTGCTAAAATATGCTTGTATGTGTGTATAGTAGTGGCTAAAAGTGATGTCATGAGGGGATATTTGATTTTAATGTTAGATTAAATTAAACCATCAAAATATGAAGAAAATATTTTAGATTTAAAAATAATAACATATATTTTAAATATGAGGGACGAACAAAACGCTAAACTTAAGGTATTTGGCAAAAAAGGCAAACTACATGCTACATGTTTTATTTTATTATGCAAAACATTGCATAGAAAAACAAAAAGACCACAGAAAAAAAAGTAATTGACTACAACATAATCCGTTATACATTTTTGTTGGTTCTTTCTTGTTTTTGCATATGTAAAAAAAAAAAAATGATTATGACAGCTTGGCCAGAAATTATGTCTGCACAATTTGGCATGTTTCATCACAAAGCAAACAATTGACTCCAAGCACAATTACACAATATGCTTAAACAAATTTAATAGTATATTTGAATAAAGAGTGAAGATGTCAATTTTCCTAGGCCGGACATCAGTTTTGGCCAGATACATTTTTTTCCCATTTTGTTTTAAAATATGACCTGCATGTTTAAATATTCACCAAATAATGACTTATTACTGACCTCAAAGAAGGTATCCACATGCTGCTTCGGTACATCCCCTTTTAAAGCTGGATACGTGTACTTCCCCATCATGTCATAGATGGCCCTCACTATCTCCGTCATTTCCTGTGAGGTACATGAACATTGAGTTAGTTACTGAATTATGATAATTATTATTATAGTTAATACATTATTATAATTGCCTTTTTAATTATGACATACCTCCCTATTTATAAATCCATCTCTGTTAATGTCATATAGATGAAATGTCCATTCTAGTTTATCTCGGACGGTCCCCCGCAGCAGAGTAGAAAGTCCCATCACAAAGTCCTGAGAGAGAGCGAGAAAATAAATCCTGTGTGCAATGTCACATAAATATTATGTTCATATCTTATGCTCATATCTCATCTCATATCTTCATACCTCAAACTTTATGGATCCATTATTTCTGCTGTCGAACGCATTGAAGAGATAATGTGCATACGTGCTGGCATCTGGAACAGCGGTGACAACAGATGAAAACATTAGACATTTAAGATTCCCTGAAATGTATCGTAAGAAGCATGTAAGGATTTTACATCAAGTACCTCCATGTGGAAAAAACTGTGCATAAATGTGTTTAAATGTCTCTTCATTCACCACTCCACTTGGACACTCCTGAAGGTGGAAAAACACTTCATATTATTGGCTTGAGACTGATTCCTGCATATGCAAATTGGATATGATAACTTGAGCTCTGCAGACTTTTTTGTTAAAGGAGTAGTTCACTTTTAAAAAAACTTTTGCTGATAATTTACACACCCCCATGTCATCCAAGATGTCCATGTCTTTCTTTCTTCAATCGAAAAGAAATTAAGGTTTTTGATGAAAACATTCCAGGATTTTTCTCCATATAATGCACTTTACTGGGCACCAAACGGTCCAAGGTCCAAAAGACAGTTTCAGTGCAAACTGCAAACTGTTCAAAGGGCTTTAAACGATTCCAGACGATGAATAAGGGTCTTATCAAGCGAAACGATCGGTCATTTAAAAAATAAATAACAAAGTTTAAGTTTTATAAGCTCAAATGCCCGCCTTGCTCTGTTCTGTGATGCACGTTCGTGACTCTCCTGTTCGAACTCGTTCATCAAAATGAACAAATCTTTTTTCGAGTCATTTGATCCATTTAACGACCGAAATGAACGAATTGACTCGGAAAAAGATTTGTTCATTTTGATGAACGAGTTCGAACAGGAGAGTTACACAGAACAGAGCAAGGCGAGCATGTGAGCTTATAAAACTTAAACGTTGTTATTTTTTTTTTAAATGAGCGATCGTTTCGCTTGATAAGACCCTTATTCATCGTCTGGTGTCATTTAAAACCATTTGAACAGTTTGCAGTTTGCACTGAAACTGTCATTTGGACCTTGAACCGTTTGGTGCCCAGTAAAGTGCATTATATGGAGAAAAATCCTGGAATGTTTTCATCAAAAACCTTAATTTCTTTTCGACTGAAGAAAGAAAGACATGGACATCTTGGATGACATGGGGGTGAGTAAATTATCAGCAAAAGTTTTTTTAAAAGTGAACTAATCCTTTAATATATCATATAATTTTAAAAATGGGTTACACTTCATTTTAAGGTCGACGTATTACAGTGTAATTATACATTAAGTACTGAATAATAATAATGAACTGTAGCTACTTAATATTGGGTTATGATTAGGGTTAGTTGCATATAATAATTTATAGTAATAATTACTAAGTAATTATTAAATACAATTATAATTAAATACAAGTAATGTGTAACAAGGACACAAAGTGCTCAAACAATTAGGTTGATGAGATGTACAAATAGTAGATGCACTGCCATAGAGAACTACGCTGTATATTTGGTAAAGCTT